TAATTAGATTACCTTTTATTAGTAGATTATATTTTAAATGTAGATATAATTTGATATATTGTCAATTATATTATGATATAAAATTTTTTCTAACCGTGATAAATATGATTTATTTTAAAAAAATTAAATTCTAAAAATAAATAATATTAATTAAATTACCTTTTATTAATAGATTATATTTCAAATCTAGATATAATTTGATATATTGTCAATTATGTTATGATATAAAATTTTTTCTAACCGTGATAAATATAATTCATTTTGAGAAAATTAGATTTTAAAAATAAAAAATATTAATTAGATTACCTTTTATTAGTATATTACATTTCAAATTTAGATATAATTTGACATATTGGCAATTATGCTATGATATAAAAATTTCTCTAACTGTGATAAATATGATTCATTTTTAGAAAATTGGATTCGAAAAATCAAGAATATTAATTAGATTCCCTTTTATTAGTATATTATATTTCAAATCTAGATATAATTTGATATATTGTCAATTATGTTATGATATAAAAAAATTTCTAACCACGATAATATGATTCATTTTGAAAAAATTGGATTCTAAAAATCCAAAATATTAATTATATTACCTTTTATTAGTAGATTGCATTTCAAATCTAGATATAATTTGATATATTGTCAATTATGTTATGGTATAAACAATTTTCTAACCATGATAAATATGATTTATTTTAAGAAAATTGAATTCTAAAAATAAAGAATATTAATTAGATTACCTTTTATTAGTAGATTACATCTCAAATCTAGATATAATTTGATATATTGTCAATTATGTTATGATATAAAAAAATTTCTAACCGTGATAAATATGATTCATTTTGAGAAAATTGGATTCTAAAAATCAAGAATATTAATTAGATTACTGTTTATTAATAGATTACTTCTCAAATCTAGATATAATTTGTTATACTTCCAATTATGAAAGCTCTTTACAAGCATTATAAATATTTTTAAGGTTATGTTACATGTTCAAATAAAATATTATGAAGTGGTGAAGAGTACAGGTCGATCAGTAATTAACCAAGAAATATATAAAAGTCTCATTTCTTTTTTCACGAGTATTTTTTGGTTAATTACTTATTCGACCAGTGCTCAGTTCCGCATACAATTCTCACATATTTACTAACGAATGAAGAATACATATCGATTAGTAATCAACCAAGAAATATATGAAGATGTTGTTTCTTTTTCAAGAGAGTTATTTGGTTAATTACTAAGTCGACCAGTGTTCAGTTCTATATAAAATTTTCATGTAATTACTAATTGGTGAAGAGTATAGATCGATCAGGAATTAACCAAAAAATATACGAAAGTATCGTTTCTTCTTTAAGAGTGTTTTTTGGTTAATTACTGAGTCGACCAATGCTCAGTTCCATATATAATTTTCATATAATTATAAAATTAAACATACAGTTTATTAATTAGGGATGACAATGAAGGAGCTATGGCACAAAAGATATATCTCCATTCTTTTGCCACATTACCCGACTACCATCTCCCGTTCCCACACTACAATTGAGAGAGCATATGTATTACAAAGTTTCTTTTGATAATCTTGTTATTCATGAACGTATAAAGCCCGTGAAATTAATTTTCATTTTATTCAAGAATCATGTTATTTCCCATGTTCATACCTCTCTTTAATCATAGTCTTTACCAAGCTTTGTGTTGTAATAAGTTTAATTTTTTATTGAACAAGTTGGTCATTCTTGATATCCATGCATGAAATTGACAACTCCCACCTTCACCTCTCTACCCTACTACCACAACATATACCATGTTTAAGATGTTAAGCTATCTACAATAATATGAAGCTACCCTACATTGTTGTTCTAAACTGCATGCATCATAAACATAAAAGAACATTAAACCCGTTATTATTTTCTTTGAGAATGTTTATAGTCTTACTATAAGGTTGCATGGCCTATGTCTCTTCAACTATTAAACAACTTTATCAAAGTTTTAGGTTATGACCAGTTTTATTCTCTACTGAACAAGTTTGAGTGCTTGATGGAGGATAAGACATTACTTTGGTTGTGCAAGATTGTTAACTAATTGTATATAGGTACATTTTAATATAGAATATATTACAGGAACATATGAGAGATAATGTAGAATATCATATATGAGATTATAGATCATCCCAAAGCTATCATTCTTCTTGTATTATATATATATACTTATCATAATTAAATAAGAATATAAGTTAGTAAATTTTTTATTAATAATTTATAATGATATTGCAATCTTCCTAAAAAATTAATTATCATCTTTGTAACGTTCGACATCTCTTATAAGATAAAGGGAGAAGGAAGATTTTGTTAACCTGATAAATAATTCGAAAGTATAATTCTAAGAGTTTTATTAAAAGTAATCAACCACGTTCAACCATGCAAAAGCCATATTGTTGCCTAGTTTATGGACCCCGTTTAAAAAGTTATGGAGCTTGTTATTACTTATTTGATACTAATATTGACGTTCTTTGTCTTTATTATTCATATAAAATATAAGAATAAATAAAATTTGAGGATAACATGCTTTAAAGTATTAGAGGACCGATTTTTCTACATTTCTATCTTAATAAGAACTAGCCTTTCGATACTAGATATCATCAAACATAATTTTGCAGAGTTAAATACTTGACAAATATTTCGGATAAAATTTCCAACTATAAAAGTAACTTACAATACTATTGGTATATTAAATATCACGATTGCTTCAAACCATAGCATATCATTTAATATAAATACCAACTTTCTTATTTTACTTTCTTAAAATTGTAGATAAATTCTAATATTTCCCAGACTTTTCTGCTAATATATGTATTTACTTCGATTCCGGTTTATTTTAGTCATATATGTTTTTGTTCTTATTTTTTTTCTCGTTTTTCTTTGAATACAATTCTATTGCTTTTAAAGAGATTTTTTTTTTCTTCTAATTTTTGTAGTTGTTCATCGATTTTCTACTCGACCATATATCTCATTTTCATTCTCTTAATTGTCTCAATTTATAAAATTTCCTCTCTAATCTTTTAATCTTCACAAAAACATTTTTTTTTCTTATCTTTCAAATCTCATATTTTAGCTTTCCATTAATTTCTTACGAGTTTACAGTTTTCCTACTTAATTTTACACACACACACATATATATATATATGTATTGGTTCTATAAATGTTGTATAAAAGAAGCATTAGGAAGGCATAATGCAGCAGTTAGAAACAGCCGATAAAAACTTTTTGACTTAAAGGCTTTAAAGAAACACCACTAACTCATAAAAGGTTTTCACACTTTTAGTCTTAACCACCGCAAAATAAAATAGTATCATTAAAGAATTTTGAAATATTTATTATTTTATTTTTCAAAGAATGATTATTTTATTAAAAATCTAATAGATATTATTGTATATAAAAATATTCTCAAATAAATATATTTTGATTAAGATATATATATATATATATATATATACATTTACCTAAACCATATTGTTTCCCGTTGAACAAATAAAGCATTGGAATGAAAACTAAATTTCAATAATAAGAATAATCATTAACTCCATATTTTGCAAATAATATTTCCATAAATTAATAATAACTACTGATTCAAAGCATAAAATTAATTAGAGTGAAATATCATTATTAATATTTAGATTAATAAAATATTAAAGATACGAATCAGACACGTCAATATTAATTTAACAAAATTAGTTCAATTATAATTGTGTTATATCGTCAGAGATTACTTATTATTAAATTCCAAACTTGGTTATATTGAAAATATTCAAATAACAATATTCTATAAATTACTTATAAATTATTCGATCAAAATATAAATATATGCCCAAAACGTAAACATATATGTGACTTAAAACAAATATGATCATGTATATGCTTAATTGTCATACTACTATACTAGGTAAACTTGTAAGATAGGAAAAAAAAAATCAGATATTATAGCCCAATTACATTATGATACAAAAATTTTTGTAATCAAGATGAGTATGATTTCTTTTGAGAATATTTGAATTTTAAAATTTAATAATATTAATTAGACTATTTTTTATTAGTAGATTATATTTTAAATATAAGTATAATTTGATATATTATTAATTACGAAGATTCTTTACAAACACTATAAATACAATTACATTATACATTCAAATAAAATATTACAAATTGGTGAAGAGTACAGTTCAATCGGTGATAAGCCAAAAAAAACACATCAAGGTTTACTGTTTCTTCTTCAAGAATATTTTTTGGTTGATCACTGACTTGCCCTGTACTCAGTTCCATTTACAACTTCCATATACTTCCAAAATTGAACGTGCAATTTATTGATTGGAGATGACAAAGAGGTATTATGACACAAATATATATATATATATATATATATATCTCCCTCAGTTCGTCATTTTCCCCTATTACTATATCCTATTCCCACATCGTTTGAGGTGGTAGAAAATTTTGTGCATTACAATTGTTTTTTTAGATAATCTTTTTTGTTCAGAAAATATAAAGCACATCAAATGAATTGTCATTTTATTCAAAAATCATGTTCTTTCTCATGTTCTTAGCTCTCTCTAATCATGGTTTTCACCAAGTTTAAGGGTTGTGATTAGTTTAAATTTCTATTAAACAAGTTGGTAATTCTTGTTATCTATGTATGAAATTGACAACTCTCTCCTTCATTATTTGATATTCTCAAATGAATATATTGTGGTTAAAAGATATTTATACATAATAAATGTAAAAGGACTCGATTACATTTACCTAAAGCATATTGTTTCCATTGAACAAATAAAGCATTGGAATGAAAATATTGAATTTTTACATGCTACTAAATTTCCATGTGTGTAGAAAGAAATCTATACCAAACTTCTTAATTTAAAGTGGAAAACTGAAGATTATGAATTTCGAGTTAATCTAAAAATGGTTTCATCAACTCTAATTTGAAAGAACCAAATTATAATACAACTTCATTGTACGTGTGTGACTCAAATGTCAAATGTGGGAACTTCAGATCCAAAGCCATGGCTGACTTGATATTTTAGGCGAGATAATAAACCCCTGTAAGGATCATATTCTCTTTTCTCCTTCAAAAAAGCTATGCACCTTTCTACCTCATTCTTGACTTGTGCATACAGTTCACCAGATTTCTCCTTGTCTTTCAATTCGGTCATTCTCCCTACACATAAAATTTGATCAGTCAGTGTAAAAGTACGAGGTCAGTACGTCCAAGATTGAAATTCAACAAGGATTCTTTACCAAGTAAATTTGGACCAATCAACTTAAACTACAAAAGCTTTATTTAGAAATATATATATATATATATATATATATTTGAATTTCATTTCATTTTCTACTGGTATGATCAACGACCTCATCTACAAATGAATCATGATGTTTGAAACAGAAGTTATGGTATTTGAAACAAAAAGGCTATATTTTGAACTAATCAAGAATTTTTGTAGAATTCTGTTGAGAATCAAAACTGCATGGACAGCTTCAACACAAGCTGAGGACAAGAATGTTTGCACGGAATTTCTAGCTAAACTCATGCATGCTGTAACCCCGGGGACTACTAGACTTCAATCTGCCCCCGGTAGGCTTGATGAACTTCTGCATGTAGATAATCATACAACTTGGTACTGACGGTATCCATGTAATCTTCTCTTCTTTTATTACAAATATGAAAAAGAGCATAGCAGTGATCATCACTAACGATCATGCCTTGTAAGACTGGTTTAGGCCAGTGTGTCAAGGCTTCTGCCTTTGCCTAATAACTTTTCCTAGCATTATAGCTTAATCTACTTCTCCTTCAAATTCTACCATATTTCTCAATTTAACCACTAGATTATTCTTAATATATAAAATTATATCATATTTTGCTTGTTTAAGAGCAACTTTTTGATTTCCTACTTATCAAAAAACTACCTTTGGTCTTAATTGGTGTCCCAAAGTAATAGTAAAATCTGCCAGGAATCTTTGGAAAAAATAGAGGTATATTCAGATCTTGATTAGCTATTTCTCCATCAGCATCAGCCCTGTTATTATTACAAGACAAAATTTTTAAAGACATAACAAGAAGGATAGAATAACAAAGAAACCAAAGACGAGACTGCAAAGATTGAAAAGTTAGAAGGCATTACTAACTATACCTCAATTTGACTGCCTCACTTGTTAGACTTTCTATTAGAGATCTAAAAAAAGGAATCTTCATTTGGTCATTGTAATCAAAAAATACCTGTGCCCGAGAATAATTTGGTGAACAAAATTGCCATTAAAGAGCAGAAATCAACCAGAGAAAGTCCTCAAAATAGATAAAAGACAGAAAAGTATTGAGTGTATTTTCCTGTACTTGATAAGAGTGATTGAGCTGTAATCACTTTGTGTTCGCCCATCACCTGAACATACACGAACATAGAACATGCATGTATACTCTCATGGCTGGATCCGTCATTATTCTAAATAATGGAGGCAGTTATTAATTCAGGTTTTTTTTTCTAAGAAAAAAGAGAAACAACAGGCATTAGTATAATTATCTCTCTTTTATGAGATATTCTATTTGAGAACAATTATTGCTTGGAGAGCAAGCTCTAGGAGATTCAAGAATTCTTTAAAAATGATCTTATTTGAAAATATAAAAGGTTAACCAAAAATAAACAAAACCCTTTGAAAGTTAGTTTTCTAAAGGTTGACCTCCTACTTGAAGGACTGACTCCGACCGAACTCAACCACCATCTTTGTGGTGGTAAGCATGACTCAGTAAGTATTATTTCAAAGATATGCAACTCAACTGAAAGTAGAAATTATACCTACACTCAGAAACTAACTAATATCTTAAACAATTTTAGGGAAAAGGTTATTTAGCTTACTTGGGCAACATCATCTGCTCCCACAACTCCAAATGGTATTATCGTGGCGCCAAATTTAGCTGCAATCCTTACAAACTCAGGATTTTTGGGCCAAAATAACGTGTACTCTTCACCCTGTAATGTATGGAAATCACAATTGTGGAATAAATTGAATGTACTCTAGACTTCAAGGCTCAGACCTTGTTTAATTGAGAATCTTGTAATAAAAGAAGGCAACTAATTTTCGGTACAAACACGGAGATCGTTTCTCAATAAAGCCACCATATTGTCTGGTGTGAAAGTAATTACTCTGATCATGGCTTCAATTAGGAAAGGAAACATCAATGAACTGCTTTTAGTCATTGCATTTGCAAGGCAATATGATTTATAAGGTCTCTGTTGGTTCCTCAAGTACTTCAAGATGTATCAGGAGGTGGTTCATGCATAAACGTTTTATGTTGTAATTCTATATATTAAGCTTAGTCTTGTAATAAGTAAAGAAATATCTAGAAATGAAATAAAAATTAAACATACTAGGCAGTGTGTATATTACCTTCCTATGCATGGCCTCACGAATGCCTCCTGGATAGAGCAGGACATGTGAATTGGATGACAGAAGTTTATGGAGGTTATATGCTGATACAGGAACTCCACCTTGCATCCTCCGTGAATCCAATCTTGATACATCAGGTAACAGTCCATCTTTCAGTCTTGTAAACATAAAGGGATGTCCCATTCCTCTCAGAATAATATTTCTTTCAGCAAAAAACCGATCAGGCAAGGAAACCAAGTCAAATCCCAGTAACATATGATGTCCAACAATTAGGACGGGTCCTTCTGAGGGGATTCCATTAAGACCCTTCATAATCTTCCCATCTTCTGAAGTTGAGAACATCACTGATCCGGTAAGAATCTCAAGCAATCTGGGAAACATTTGAGATTAGATATTTAAAACAAATCAAGTCTGCAGCTGTAATTTATATGAATCTGATGGCAAAGTATCATTTCGGAAACTTTCAGGTTAGGAGTGTAGACTATCTATCAAAAGGATGTGCATGCTTTAAGTTTGTCCACTAAGATTAACTGATCAAATCCCTTAAGCCACAGGCATAAGAAGTATTCTTTTTACTATATGAAGTCCTTCTCATTAATAATTTTAACTCTATCTAATCAATTCATGTAAGAACTGCTTTGACCCAAGTAACTGGACATTTGGCTCGGCATTATTCACCGTGCAACCAGTATATGTTCTGTGTTAATTATAACATTAGAAAATCTACCATGCCGTAGTTTTAAAGGGAATACCACTACCTGGTTCGCCCATAAAATTTATTGAATTCAGAGTGGGTCACTGGCATAAAATCTGAAACATAATCAAATTTTGTTCCACGACGGTAAAAATAAGCACCCTTGAGAACACTCACCAAATCAAAACCATCCTCCTGACATGGATGGAAACAAATACATTATGTATCAGACATACACTTTTTTGAGATAGATAATGTGTACAAAGAGAGATCATCATGTCCTACCAAGAAGAGAAAATGACCACTACCACGGAAGTTACGGATCTCACATTTTTCCAGTACTTGACGTAGCCTTTTTCCTTCCTCTTTATTGGGTAGCAACTGATCATTTCCACTAGAAAGGAATAGAGTGAGCTGCCTCTTTATTTGGAAAGAATAACAAACTAAACAAAATATGCTGTAACCCAATGCGAGACATAAGTATCACGTAATAATAAAAGTATTGATATGGAATGACTCAAGCCAACAAACAGCTGTCATTTAAATTCCATTCACTGTCTACATATCCGACACAAAGTGATATTTGACTATTCGTCACTTGGTTCACACTCTATTTCATCATTCAAGCTCTAGACCGCAAATAAGGAAATCTCTGATACAGAGTGATGTTTGACTATTCCATACTGTGTTCACACTCTATTTCACAAGCTCTAGACGGCAAAGATGAAAGTATTTGGAAGGTAGTAGCAGAGCCCTACATATGGTGTCTTTATATGATCAGCGTAAAATGTACCTAAACTCCAAGAGTTATTCATAGCAACTTTCCATGATACTTTACTTCAGTAAAGGGCATCAAATCTGCTCATTTTGACAGTTTTACTTGTTTCATGAGGTGCTTCTTGGCCTTGCATACTACTAAGGAACTACGGATCTTTTTGTCTGCAAATTCTTGTCATCACTATTCGAGAGTTACATGAAGACAAAGCTCCACAAAGGTACATACAGGTTGAGGATGCCTAGAATTGTAAAATAGGCTTTCAATGAAGACGTGCTTAGTAATTTGATGAAAGAAAGATGTGAAACTCGGCTTTTTCAAAAACTTAAAATGCATGCAGTCAATTGTACCAAAGAGTAGTAACCTGGAAAGTATCAATGTCTGTGCTTTCACGCGATCAAGCTGTGAATTGGCAAATATGGATGCCGAATTAAGCATCTGTAGCTTCCATTCTAGTGTTTCTACCGGTAAAATATTAGACAGAACCTGTTAATTGCATCATGCAAACATAGGATGAGAGAACAAAAAAGAAGCAACTTAGGAGAATCAACTCGTGAGATTGAATCTGAGTTCCATCATTCAAATTCTGTGTGAAGATTAAATTGCGTGTCATGCTATGACATTGTGAAATGGGATTAATTGGGATGAAGGCATTGTCAGAATATGGCTCAGACCAGACTCATGGTGTCAAATGGACCAGCTGCTTTATGGATGGATCAGTCCAACGTCACAAAAGCTCGTAGTTGTGAACCAGAACTTAAAAGAAACAGGTAAGAAAGATGGGTGTGGTGTGGCCCGGACTGACTCAAGACACCTGTGGACCAAGGCCGTTGACTTTATGCCTGGATTAGGCTCAGGCAATAAATAATTTATTTTTCTCTGTAATTTGGACTCAAATACAATACACATATATATACAGGAAACAGAGTAAAAAATATTAAGTTTTTAATTATTGAGTCCTCGATTTTATGCATGAATTAATTATTTGACTTTGACAAATCTCTTTTTAATTTTTAAGAAAGATCTTTTCCTTTTAATTCCCTTCCTAATTTCTATCAAGGATTTTTTTTTTTTGACAATCCTCCTTATAAAGAGTTTGTTTCCTTATCATATTTAATAATTAATCTAGAAGTATTACTTTAATCGGTCATATTAACTTAGTATATTAATTTTTAAACTAATAATAATTAAGAATATTATTTTTAACTCGTGGGAAGACAAACAGAGTCTGATTACTGGAACCATGAATATGCCTGGCACAGTTCATGTTAAGCTGGACGAAACCTCACGCCCCAGCCCATTTAACATCTTGAACTCCCAACAGAGAAAATCCTTCTTCTTTAAAGCTTCACCAACTTCTGAGCTTTTAAACAAAATCGCAGCATTTTAAAAAAATGGAAATAAAAGACAGTAAAATGAAAATTCCTATGATATTGCTACTTGCTAGAAATTCATGTTTCATAATCGCAACTTACAGAAGAGTATGATGAAACTGTTACCAAATCCTCAAATAATTCTCCAATTGTTTGCCTCAGAGGAAGTCCCTTCACCCAGCTAGTCATCACCATTTTCAAAGGAGCACCTAAATATATTGTATGAATCAGTTACTACCTCATACCTAGCACTTCGATCTGCAAGATGCTCATGTATTAGACTGTTAAAAGTTTCACAAGAGGATTTTATTTTACCAGTTTTTCCTTAGTAATACTGTTTTCAATTATGATTTAGCCATAAAAGTAAAAATCTTATTTCAAATTCAAAACTTTTCTTCTAAATAAAAAAGCATCATGGACTTTGCAATGTCACATTTTTTTAGATTTCAACACCAGAGTGCATGTCAATATGACCAAATATTTTAATACAGAAATTATTGAATGGATCTGATCCACAGTAACATGGTAGACTGGTGACTATTTAATCGACCTATATCAGATTTTTATCAAAAAATTATGTGTATAGTGTAAAGTCCTGTACCCAATTACTATTGGTTCAACAACTTTTTGAACTAAACACTGGCATTCAAAAATTCAAACAAACTCTTATATAAAACTCAGTGATTGCATATTTTTGGATATGAGATTGGAGTATTATAATCTCTATTTTAGATTCTTAATGTTCTCATCAAAATCACATATCACAATTATAAATTACAATCCAAATAATTCAATAATTTTTTAGATCCAAATTACTACATTCTTAATATCTCATATTTAAATTATTGATAATTTATAACTTAAACTTGTATAGAATTTAATAATCATATATTTAATAATTTTTCAGATAAAATTTTATTTAGATCAATTAAAGTGTACAGGCCAACCTTCTTAGGCATAATCCTGGCCCATATAATAACGTAACAATAATTTTCTCAATATAATAAAAGTTAGAAGAGTAAACCTCGAGATGCTTCCTCCAAAGCAAAAAAAAGAAACTAATCAATGAATAATAGGAAGGCAGTAAAAATGATTTAGAGCTGGATGTTAATAATGACGAAGAAGATATGTTTTCATTATATACACAACTTAGCGGGACAGAACTAGAAGCAATAGAACAAAGAAAACAAACCTGTGATTGAACTGAGCATATAAGGAATGGAAAAGTTTAGTAGGTCTGGAATGCCTTTTGATAGAGCTGAAAGAGCTTGCAGTACTGAACTGCCAAATGATGTAGCTGCAAGAAGAACACAATTTACGATTCTATGAAGCAATTCATGTCCCTACATATTTATGAGAACTCTTATATGAATAGTAGTCAGTTTTCTTGGTCCTGTTTCTTCTCAACGCATCTGATCTGATGAATCCTTAAATTTTCAGCTATAAAATCAGGTCCAAGGTTAACATGAAGGTTTTTCAATAAATAAATGAAAAATGAGTAATAGAAGAAACAAGGACGAGATTGCCACATCTGAAATCAAGAACTTCTACGAACTCCAATTCTATGTAAAATAATGGTTGAATGGTCGACTATCTAAGACCCAAATGACTAACCAAAATCACTTCTAAAAATCTATTTATCCAAATTCTTATTGGTCTTTTTTCACAAGACATGAAAACTTGCAGATCCATACTTTTGACGTTTGAAGTCAACCAATGACTGTTGGTTTTACTTGAATATCCAAAACTTCCATATAGGAATAACAATATGCTGACTTCCAGTGAATAAAAAATTCACACAAAAAAATAAAAAAGTTCACCTGGGTTTGCCAAAATTAATACAAGATCAATATCATGGTTACGAGCTGCAACAGCTAGCGCAATGCATCCCCCAAGAGATTCTCCAACAATATATATAGGCCGACCGGGTGAACGAAAATTTTCAGACCTTACAGCTCTTTCAACCAACTTCACTAGATCTGTAAGCGTTAGATTATTATTCTATCGGAGAGAGAGAGAGAGAGAGAGAAAGAGAGAGATAGAGAGATCAAGTACTGCATCACAATGAACTTCAACTTCTTTAAACATTCATTCTACCGTCAAAACAAGTATCTAGTAATTTGAGCTGAAAATGAAAGAGAAAAAGAAAGAGAGAAAACCTGTAAATGTGGTTCGATCGTGTACTGGAATATGCAAGCACCATATATCAAAAATCCTTTACCCGAGGTAAAAAGGACAGAAATGTAATGGATTACACAGGATAAGCATTAGTTAAACAAAAAATGAGTCGGTAGATGGTGCATACACTTGTATGGATTAACTCTCTGCAATTCAATTACAAAAGCTTACTTTCCAAGTTTATTGTGCTGCCTTATCAGTCCAAGTCCAACACCATCAATCCCTGCAAGTCGAGGGAAGAATCAATGCATTATTTCCACTTA